AAAAAGAATTCAGGCATCAGGTGAAGATTTGTTCAAGATGACCCCTGACGCCCTTTCTAGAAATCTGAGATTCCAACTTTATTCCCACCCAGATTCAAGCAAAAATTTTCTTGGCAACATCCTCAGTGAAAAGTCTTCCAGCCTTGACCTGAAGACTTCAAAGATATGGAAATCCTTAACTAATCAAGCACCACATTTCACGTTTGGACAATTCTAATTGTTAGGAAGTTTCTTACAACTTAATAGTGAATCAAAACCTCCCTCTTGGTAATTTCTTCCCATTGCTGTGTTATCTGGACTACAGTAAAACAGTTCTAATCCCTCTTCCGTATGAAAGTTTTATAAATACTTGAAAGTTGATATCCTAGTTTTAGTTTTCTCTTCTCCAGGCTAGATATCCCTAGTTCCTTTATTTAATCTTTGCCTGGCACGGTTTCAAGTCCCCTAAGCATCCTTGTAATGCTTTTCTTTTTTCTTTTTTTTTGTAAATAAGTTTATTCTTTATTTTAAACATTCTTTTTCTTTTAAAATTTGAATTTCAACTTCTCTCCCTCTCTTGCACTCCTTCCCCACCCACTGAGAAAGCAAGAAAAATTATATCAATTATATATGTGAAATCATGCAAAACATATTTCTACATTAGCCATATTGGAAAAAAAAGTCCAAAAAAAGTGAGAAAATTATCATTTAATTTGCACTCAGAATTTATCAGTTCTGTATATGGATAGCATTTTTTTCATCATGAGTACTTTGTGATGGTCATAGATCATTGTATTGATCAGAGTAGTCAAGTCTTTCACAGTTGATCATCATTGCTGTTGAATTGAATTGAGCATTATTGCTGTTAATCCACGTTCTTTTTTACTTGACTTTGCATCAGTTCATATAGGTCTTGCCATGTTTTTTTCTGAAACCAACCTTCTCATTATTTCTTATATCACAATAGTACTCCATCACGATCAGATCTTTTCTAAGCATACTTCATTCAGTTAATGTCCTTTCAAAAATGTGAAACTCAGAACTAAACATCTACTCTATAATTCAAGAGGAAAGATTACAACAGGAGAATAGCTTCATTCATTCTGCACAACATGCTTGCATTAAGGCAGCATAAATTCATATTCAAATTAGCTTTTTAGGTTGCCATGTCACACTACTGACTCTTATCAAACTTGCATTCAACCCCTTAATTTCTTTATTTTGTACATTAGGATTTCTTATGTTGAATTGCCTCAAAGCAGGGCACACCTGTGTCCATTCAGTCACTCTTGTGAGAATATGTCTAGACCGCCATATGTATTCCTCAAAGAATATTCTGATTTGTAGCAGTTAAACTACTTTTCACTATTGAAAAGAGCCTGACAGTGAATCCTTGCATAAAGAAAAAGTGATTTGCCTAAGTGCCAAATTACTTGATCACTTGACTGAGTCCTTTAATGAAGAGATTTTGAATGTGTATAAACACCAAGGAAGGAAAGGAATCATGTAAGGGGATGACAGTAGGTTACAGAGACTACCAAAACTGAAAGTTATCTCTCCTTGTCTCTAGGTCAAATTGCATGTAGCCCATCCAAGCAAATTTGTGTCTGTCTTGTTCTTAAGACCTCTAGTCGATGTGCTGTCATGATCCCTTCTAGTCACTATTTCCTGTCTTTGACTTTTTTTTCCCCCTGTTAAGCAGTTTTTCATGACACCTAACCTCGAGGGATAATAGAGACTAGAGATAAGTCTATACTATTCTAAATGTTCTTTAGGGATCCAGTGAAATACTGTTCTTTGCAAGGAGCCACCTTATGTTTCCCACACTGATAGCTGAGGGGAACTCCAGTGATGTAGTCTATCTAGATTTGAGCAAAACTTGTAATATCTCATACTGTTCTTGTGGAGAAGATGGAGAGATGTAGAAAAGGCAAAAACATGATTGTATGTATGCAATAGTAATTGGATCACTTGAGTCAAAGAGTAATCAGTAATGGTGTGATGTCAGTAAAGAAGAAAGTCTTCACGGAGTACTTCAGCAATCTGCGCTTGTCTCTTTATTATTTAATATTTTTATCAATGTCTTGGATAAAGCCATGGATGGCATGTTCACTAAATTTGTAGGTGACACTAAGCTACAAAGTACAGTGGAGAATAAAATACAAAAAGATCTTGACAGATAGAAAATTGACCTGAATCTAGTAAGATAAAAAGCAATTGGAATAAATGTAAGGCCTTGTACTTGGGTACTCAAAAATCAACTTCCACAAGTATAATACAGGGAAAGTATGTTTAGATTGTCTGAAAAACAATCTAGGAGTTTTAATGGACTGCAAATGCAGTATGAGTTAGCGTTGTGATATAACAACCTAACACTAATGCCGTCGTGGGATGCATTGAGAAAGACATCGTTACTAGGAGTGTGGGGGTAATCTGATAGTCTGTACTTCTGTGCTCTGCCCTTTTCAGATTTCATCTGTAGTGCTTTGTTCAATTCTAGGTCAGTTAAAGGAGGGCATTGATAAATTAAAAGTGCTCAGAAGAAATCATCCAGGATAGTGAAGGGCCCTGAGCCTATGCTATATGAAGAATATATGAAGGAATTGGAAATGTTTAGCATAAAGAAGAAAAAATAGAGGGAGAACATGATAGATGTCAAGCATTTATTTATTTATTTGTTTGTTTGTTTGTTTTTGGAGAGGCAGTGGGGTTAAGTGACTTGCCCAGGGTCACACAGCTAGTAAGGGCCAAATGTCTGAGGTCGGATTTGAACTCAGGTCCTCATGACCCCAGGGCTGGTGCTCTATCCACTGCACCATCTAGCTGCCCCATCTTCAAGTATTTAAAGGACTGCCAAGTAGATGAGAGATTAGATTTGTTCTGCTTAGCCCTAGAGAACAAAATCAGAAGCAGTGAGTAGAAGTTGTGAGGAGGCAAATGCAGGCTTGCTATTGGGGGGAAAGCATCCTCAAAATCACAGCACAAAAAGTACAATAGGCTCAAAATCAGACTTTGAAGGCTTCTGATAATCTCCTTTGTTAGTTCTCATCCTAAATTGATCATTTGGATTAAGTAAATATATCTCTTTTGCTGATAAATCTATTTCATTTAAAGGAGAAAAATGTGCATGAAGTTCCCCTTTGCCAATCAGTCAACAGGCATTTATTAAACACTACGTGTCAAGCTAAGTACTAGGAATAAAAGGAAAACTAATAAAAACAGTTACTGCCCTCAGGGAGCTCACATTCTAATGGAAGAGACAACATGCCAACATGATACATCCAGTATAAATGGGAGATAATCTGAGAGGAAGATAGCATTTGCATTGGTTGTGAGAAGACAAGACCTTTTGCAAAAGGAAGGATTTAAGCTGAGCCTTGAAGCCTGGAAAATGAGGAGGCAGAAGGATGAAGGGAAAGCTTTCAAGGCATAGGGAACATCCAGTGCAAAGGTACAGGATCAGGAGAGGGAGCTTCATACACAAGAATAGTAAGAAATCCAGTGTAGCAGTATCATCATGTAAAAGGTAGCAGAAGATAAGACTGCTGGAAAGATAGGATGGAGCAAATTTGGGAAAGACTGAAAATACCAGACAGAGCATTTTAGATGGGATCCACTTGAATTCATGAGGTTGGGCGGTCAAAGGTCAGATCTATGCTTTATGATGATCATTTTGGCAGCTGAATGGAGGATAGACTAGAGAGATCCGAGAAAGGGAGACCAACCAGGAAAGCTCTTACAGTAGTCCAGGCCTGAAGTAATGAAGGCTGACTTCAGGGTAGTGGCTGTGCAAGTGGAGAGAAAATGATGTTATGGAAGGTGTTATAGAATTAGTAACATTGCACATGTGAAGTAAGTGCAAGAGAAGAGGTGATGATGGCCCTGATGCCGGCAAGCTTGAGTGACTGAAAGGATGGCGGTGGCTTTGATAATAATAAGAAACTTAAGAAGAGAAGAGGGTTTGGGGAAAAGATAATGAGTTTTGCTTTGGACATAGTGAGTTTGAGGTATCAGCAGGAAATTGAATTTAAAATGTCCAAGAGTCAGTTGGTGAAGAAAAAAAGTCTTGTTATAAACTTGTCTATAATTTCTTGTAGCCTTTGTTATCTTCAGTTGTACATAGTAGGTGCATGATGAATATTTGTTCAGTTGTTTAATCAGTGGCAAATTAGTACTTCCTAAGTAAATAAATACCAATTATGTCACTGGAATTACTAGCAAGATTTGGGGCCATAGAAATTAGTTATTCTGACACAAATATTAAATGGAAAGCCAATCATTATAATTGAGATGGAACTGAACACTAAATGTAGTTTTAAAGGTAAGAGGAGGTATAAATAAGTAAGCCAGGGCATTTATAAAAGGACATGGAGTCTTTTCACTTTGGGTCATTAGTTTAACTGTCTCCAAGATGATGTCATCAAAGAATATTTCTACCCAATAACTAATGGCAGGTAGGAAAGTGGCAAGTTGATGATGATGGGCCTTATAATATAAGGTGACAAAATGTCCCTATGTGACACTGGTAGTGTAAAGTGAGAAGTCAAGAGATGGACTTCCGTCTTAATCCCAAATGTTATCTTAAAAGTGGTATAGCTGATGCATGTTTATAAAGTTTTTGTTACTTTCTATGTGGTATCCATGCTCAGTAACTCAATAATAACCCTACATTATGGATTCTCATGGTCACTCTTTATTTAATATCTTTCTTTAAAGAGGCCAGTAGGACTTATAGATGGTATCTTATTCATCCTTAGTGCTCTCTGTATCTGCTTTGTAGAAATTGATGCCAAAGATGACCCTTTAGTTTAGTAACTTTGTGTAAGTTGAAGCCAATCTAAGTGTTATGATTCCTTATTCATCATGCCTCATTACCTCCACACTCATACAATAGATTTTTTCATTAGAAAGAGGAGGATAATAACTTTCATCAAAAAGGAAATAAGGAATGGGGATAAGGAATGCTTTTTTAAATATTCTAAATTTGATTAAAATGTCTGATTTTTCCCCCTTATGCTTAGGAGCATTGCCCAATCAGAGGAGAAGCTAGTAATCAGTGCATCCTGGGCAAAAGATGATGACATCAGCAGACTTCTAAAATCTCTGCCAAACTGGACTAATATGGCTCAACCCAAACAGCTGAGACCTAAGAGAGAAGAGGAAGAAGATTTCATAAGGTAAAGGTTCTTTGTTCCTAAAAAAATTAATGAAACAAAATGAAGTTTTTGTTTCAACTCAGCCACTAAGAATTTTATGTTGTCTATGTGGAATTACTTAGTTACACAAGTAGAATTTTGAAGTTAGCTAGAGTCACTGCCTACTCATTTTCATGTGGCCATCTTGCCACATTACCACATCCCTACCTCTTTGTCATTTTTGATCTATATTAAATTGTAAAGTATTAAACATATGTGCAAAATGTTTTGTATTAAAATCAAATTGTTATATTAAAATCAAAGTCAAGGACTTCCAGAAAGATGGTGGAATGAGCCTTCCTGTCTATGCTGAACTCCTCTTCACCACCTTCAAACACCAAATGCACCAAATAAAGTAAAAAAAAAAAATAAGTGAAAGAAAAGAAATCCTTGCAAAAAAATTGGCAAAGAAACTAAAGAAATTAGTGAAAAAGACTTCCAAATATAATAAATAAACACAATGAAGTACAAACTATTAAGAAGAAATCTGTAGAAGGAAAAATTAATACTGCAACAAAAACAAGAATGAAAAGATCTGATGGCTTTCCAGATGAAAATAAAATCTCTTACTATATGGACAAACATTAGACTCAACTGCTTAGGACAAGAAGTAGAATATCTCAATAAGGCAATGGGCTTTCTAAGACAGTGGCAGAGATGGAACTCAAAAAAGGAAGGATAGAACTCATCCCACAGCATGAGAGGAAAGACAACAAACATAGAAGGACACTTGAGAACTGAAAAAAGCAAATACCTTGCAGACAGAACTTTTTAAGACAAGCTAAAAATGACTGGACTCTTAAAAAAAAAGCATGATGAAACAAAGAGACCTAATACAATATTACAGAAAATTATATAAGAAAATTGCCTGTACTGGAAAGTACTAGAAACTGGGGAAATATAGATGAACAGACTCTATAGAGAGCAGTTAGAGGAATCCCAATATAAATTTTCTTGGAAATATAGACAACAACTTCCACAACTTTAATATCAAAGATAGGGAATCTTGGAAGCAGAAAGGAAGAAACAATTGACATATCAAAAAGCCTGACTTTCAATCCTTCAAATATTCTTTTGAAGAGAAAGAGAAGTTTGAAATACAATGGACCATGAAGGCCATAGATTTAATTCTGGAGGGAGATTCTGGGTCATATAGTCCAACCTCATCATTTTAAAGATGAGGAAACTGAAACTCAGAGAGGGTGAGTGACTTGTCCAACGTCATACAGGTTATAAGAGGGATTTGAATGTATGTCCTTTGACTATAAATCTTCTACTCTTCACTTTGCACCAAAAAGTAAATGAAATTGGCCTACATCCAAAAATTGTATAGGCATACCTCATTTTATTGCACTTTGCAGATATTGCATTTTTTACAAATTGAAGGTTTGTGGCAATCCTGCATTGAGCAAGTCTATTGGTGCCATTTTTCCTCCAGCATATGTTCACATCATGTCTCTGTGTCATATTTTGGTAATTCTCACAATATTTCAGACCTTTTAATTATTATTATACCAGGTAGAGTGATCTGTGATCAGTAATCTTTGATGTTACTATTGTAATTGTTTTGCGGTGCCAAGAACTGCACCCATATAAGATGATGAACTTAATGATACATATTGTGTGTATTCTGATTGCCCCACCAACCAGCTGTTTCCCCATCTCTCTCCCTTTCCTTGGTTCTCTCTATTCCCTGAGACACAATAATATTGAAATTAGACCAGTTAATAACCCTATAGTGATTTCCAAGTGGTCAAGTGAAAGGAAGAGTCAATCGATGCAACAAACTTCATTGTTGTCTTATTTTAAGAAAGTGCCACAGCCACCCCAAACTTCAGCAGCCACCACCCCGATCAATTGGTAGCCATCAACACTGAGACAAGACCCTCCACCAGCAAAAAGATTACAAGTCGCTGAAGGCTTGGATGATAGTTAGCATTTTTTAGCAAAAAAAGTATTTTTTAGTTAAGATATATATGGTGTTTTTTTACATATAGTACTGTTGTACACTTAATAGACTACAGTATAGTATAAACATAACTTTTATACGCACTGAGAAACCAAAAAAAATAGTGACTCGCTTTATTGCAATAGTCACTTTATGGCTGTGGTGTTGAACTGACCCTGCAGTATCTCCAAAGTATGCCTATATATCTTGCAAAACTGAGCGTACTGCCTTCATGAGAAAAGATAGATTATCCGTATGATCTCAGACTTTTCTCTATTTTTCTTGGGGGAGAGTTGGAGAAGGCAGAGCCAGGAAGGGCTTTGACATACACATCTGCCAAATGACAAAAACCTAACAGATAAGCAAGATAATATAGAAAGATATTAGTAATTTATAGCCTGACTACTAGGAAAGAAATTCTCTATTTGACAGAAACTACTGAGAACACTGGAAAACAATTTGATGCTTAATGGCTTAGACTGACATTTTATTCCACATACCAGAATAAAATTCAAATAGTTAAAATGATGAATATAAAAAGTCAAAATGTTTAAAAGTTAGAAAAGAATAGAAAGTTTTATCTCTCAAAACTCTGAATAAGAGAAGAATTCATAACTGACTATGATGCAGAAAACATTGTAAAAGACAAAAGAGAAAAATTTAAATTATAGAGAAAATTTGAAAACTTTTGTACAGACAGAATTAATAAAGATGAAAAGATATAACGATTAATGTCTGACATTCAAAATCTATAAGAAATTAACATAAATCTATAACATTAAAAACCATTCCTCTATATATACAGGGACTTAGGCTATGAATAGTTTTCAAAAGAGGAAATACAGACTGTGAAAATTTGTTAAAAGTGTCTGAAACTCAGAGAAATCCAAATTAAAATAATTCTCCGGTGTCATATCAGTCCCATCAAATTGGCAAATATAGTAAAAGATTGAAAAATTCAGTGTTGGAATGGCTGTGGAAAAACAGGCACACTAACCCACAATGAGTAGAGCTGTGAATTGGTTTAACTATTATGGAAAAAAGTTGAGTTATGTAAGAAAATATACTAAATGGTTCATTCCTTTTGACACAGCAATCCCCAGTATTAGATTTTATACTTGTATAAGGTTAGTGACAGCAAGAAAAGACCCAGGTACAAAAATATTTATAGCACCAATATTTTTAATAATAAAAATCTGATCCAAACCTCTAGGAAGTAAGTACCTTAACAAATTGTGGTATATGAATGCATGTGTCATAATGAATGTTAATATGAAGAATGCAAAAATATGGGGAGGCATGTGTGAAACCAGTACAGAATGAGAAAAGTAGAACCAAATAAACAGTATGCACCACAATTGCAAGTGTATAAATGAAGACATTAAAAGTCAACTTAACTCAGGTTCAGCGTAATGGACAATGTTTGTACCAAATTGTTGGGTTAAAGCACAAATCTGTCCTTTCTGTTATGAAATAGTAAAGTAAAAAAGTGGAAAATTATGCGTACTATAAGTTATTCTTTTAGAAGCTATTGCTTAACTAAACATGGAGATGGGGAGGGGGTACAGCAGGTCTTGTGGGTTGGAGTTGACTGGATATTGAGATGTGTACACTGTGCCAAAAAAAAAATAATAATTTTTTTAAAAATAGTATAAAGTTACCTCGCGCACACACAGATGTCAAATTCACTGATACTTTTTGCCCATTCACATGAACTCATGAAGTCAAATATTTGATGAACTTAAAATAAATAATTGCTAACATTCTGTTATGATTCATCATAAGAGAAAAAACTTCATTCTAATAGTCTAGGGTATCATGTTTTAATGTATATTTACTGTTTGCAAAGTAAACTGAATTCTTGTATATTATTTTTAGTACCCTCATATGACTTTTCCTATAATTTGCCATGAAATCTTCATTCCTTCTTTTTCCTTCCATATTAGTCAGATTGACCCAAAGAATGGTGGCTATGAACTGTCCGTATTCTAGGGTGAAAGCAAAATATTTTTTAAATATTTTTTTAATACCTTTTCACATATTGAAACAAATCATGCAGTCATAAAGCTTCTAAACCCTTCATAGTCCTCCATATTTCACTTCATTTGCGGAGTTCTTTGTAGAAGATAGAGTACTTTTCTAAGATTAAGGCCTAATGCCTATAATGATGGGAGAAATTTGCATGAGAGTGGCAGGGTATGTACCTACATATATACCCACATTAGGGAAAAAAAATTGGCTAACCTTAAAGGCTCTCATCAAACCATGGGATTTGACCCTTTCACAGTTTCTGATATTCACAAATATTTGAATAGATCTGTGATCTCCATTTGGGATTTTCTTCAAATAACCTAGGTCAGAGGTGTCAAACTCATGAAGGCTGCTGCAAGCCACATCAGCCCCCAACATTCTGGAGTGCCCCAATGAGATTAAAATGTAATTGGAAAATGTTTAATGAAGTTAAAATGTAATAAAGCATATGTAATGTTAACCTGTAGTTTTCTAAGTCAACATATAGCATGCAGGGATCCATTTCTGTTTAAGTCTAATGCTATTAATATAGGTCACAACTCATCCATACCTGCCTGTGTGACTCCCCAAATTCACAATAGGGGTGGACCTATCAAAGGTGCTGGAGACCTTCCTTGTTCTCCCCAGACATTACAAGGGAATCAGCGGAACACTCTGGCTGTTCACCTGCCATCTCTCACTCTTGCCCCTTGACCAGGCCATGTTTCCTTCCCATCATACAATTCTTGATGACATCCTTGATTCTTGCTCTTTTGAGGAGTTTATTGTTAATTGTATGTTTCATCATCCTCACACCCATCATGCATTCACTGCCCTCTGTGTCACACTCCTCTGTAGTTCTTTATATCCCATATCTCGCTGCCATATAGCAACCATAGTCAAATGTTAGTATTAAGAAGATGGGCTTTTGCTTTCATAGGAAGCTTGGGAAATAAAAGACCTTTGCAATTTGCAGTTTCCCCAAAGCAATCAAGCCCCCTCTCATCTATTCAACTCCAGGCCC